GCATGGAAAGATAAGAACTGTCAAGGTCAGTTCTACATCGTGGCAAATCTTTGTTATCATATAGAATGTATAAGTTGGGGGGGGGGGGGAGAAAAGGACAGTTCTCCCTCCCAGAGTCAAATACCTCTTCTGGAGTCAACTGACGGAGGCTCAGTGCCATTTCCTACCAGAAGTGGCCAAGTGAGGATAGGATAGAAAGACGTACAGAAGCATCCGTGTGGCAGTTCTCCATCTTTACTCAAGTCAGCCCACTTTTTTTCCCCCTTGTTACTTTGATCAGTTAATGTGTCTAGAAGATCTAAGTCCCGTGTCTTTAGAGGACACCAGTTAGTTACTTGTTGGAAAGCCTTGGAAACCCAGTGATGACTCATTGCCAAGCCTCCCCTGCCTCCGCCACTGTGGGTTGTGGATACATTGGTAGAGTCACCTGTTAGCCCAACTGAACCTATTTGGATATGTGCGCTCACAAGGACAAGAATCTACTATTTACAACATACTAGATTCAGTATCTGCTTAAGGGAGACTTGGGTAATGTTCTTACTACCCTCTTTCCTTCTCTCCTTCTCTCTTCCCCTCTTCCTGGGCCAAGTTGCTTGTATACCTATGGGCATGTCTCCCTCTAGAGTGTTGACTAGTAAGACCTTCAAGTGACAGCTTATAATATGTTTTCAAGACTGAAGGAGCCAATGACAATTACTGAGGAGCCATGTTTATGTTGGACTGGCCTACCCATGCAGTGTGCCAGCAGTTTTGTACACTGAAGGACCTGGAGGTGAAAGCAGAAAGGGCTAAGGACAGTAAGGACCAAGGAAGCCAAGAGGATTGCGATGTTGAGAAGCATGTAGAAAGAGAGATGCTAGTTGTTGTTGTTACCAGTGTATTGTTGTTACCAATGTTGTTGTTACCAATGTATCTACAATCTGGCCATGCACTGAGAAATCCTGTCCCTTAATGCTCCCTGGCTTTTGTTGAGGAATGAGAGCCAGTCTGTTGGCAAATGCACAGTTAAGAAGAGAGCTTGTTCTTAGATCTCTTTGTCCTAGTCCCTTCCAAATTCCTCCACCATCCTCACCATCAAGGAGTTCTTGTAGAAACCAACAGGCTTAGGTCTACATTTTCAGAAATGTCTAGTTAGGAACTTGATCTCTTTGGGCCTCATTTCTCTCATTTCACCAAAGATGTAGACGGGTTCCTTGTTTTCCCCACTGGACTTAAGATAACTAGGGTGAAATGCTCACTGACTGAGCATCAATGAGCAGGAGACACTTGGTTCCATACAAGAACACTTTGTATCTGCTGGGTGAGGAGAAAAGCAGGCTCATTGATATTGTCCTGGCCTGCCAAGGCTGAGCTTCCATGGAATGAAGCAGATTTGTTCTTCAGAAGTGATAGTCCTAAATAAGATCATGTCCTTCAGATAGGTACTGGTGGGTTATGTCTGTAATCTTAGCTTCTTAGAGGACTGAGATTTGAGGATTGCAATTTGAAGCCATCTTTGGTATCAAAGTCCTTGATACCATTTCCAGTTAACTTATTTCCTATTTCCAGTTAACCTATTTCCTATTTCCAGTTAACCTATTTCCTATTTCCAGTTAACCACCTATTTCAAGTTAACCACCAAAAAAGTCAGAAGTGGAGTTGAAGCTCAAGTGGTAGAGTGCTAGCCTTGAGCAAGAAAGCTCAGGGACAGATCCATGGCCCTGAGTTCAAGCACTAGGAATGGCATAAAAAAATGTGTCCTTCAATCAAAAGACTTCTTTCAATATCCATATGTCCATCATACCATAATATTAACATCAAGATTACTAATAGCTAATCTGAATAGAGTGCTCATGTGCAGAACCTTTTATAGACATCCTCTCACTTAATTATCACATAGATGTTTGTGTTGTCTCTTCAGCTTCCAGATAAGGCAAGGAAACATATTCAGAAATTAAATGCCTTTCTCAGGAGCACACTGCTGGCAAGAGGTAGAGCTAAGATTCAAACCTATCTCTGAGGCCAAAAATCTGTATCAAGAACTAGGTTTTGCCAGGTGCTGGTGGCTTACGCCTATAATCTTAGCTACTCAGGAGACTGAGATCTGAGGATCGTGGTTCAAAGCCAACCAGGCAAGGAAAGTCCAGGAGACTCTTATCTCCAATTAACTGCCAGAAAACCAGAAGTGGTGCTGTGGCTCAAATGGTAGAGTGCTGAAGAGCTGAGGGACAGCGCCTAGGCCGAGTTCAAGCCCCATGACCAACCAAAAAAAAAACACCAAAAACCAAAAAAACAAACAAAAAAAACTAGGTTCCTTAATAAACAATAGAAGAACAAATTTGTAAGAGTAGTTGATTTTACTCAAAGAAATGATCTTGGGCCTTCAAGGTCTTGGAATTCTGGTAAATCCTCCATGCTCAGGGAATTCTCTGTGCTAAGGAACCTTCTCTTTCCTAGTAGAAAAGCCAGTGATGACACTAGTGAAGTTAGTGGAGGGATGGGTGGAGTTGGGAGAGCTGGGGGAAGGGATGCTAGAAGGGGCGACCCTGATCAAGATGTATTGTATACATAAATTGATGTGTTGAATTGGAACTCCTTTGTATAATTACTTAAAGGTGATGTAGGGGGTAGAGAATCTGTCTCAACATGAGTGCGAAGTTCAGAACTCTTCCCCAGCTCTGCCTCTGTGTATCTGTGTGATCCACACTCAGCCCCCTAGCCTGTCTGGGCTGGGTCACATGATCTCTAAGGCTACTCTAATTTTTAGGTTTTGTGTTTTCCCTTGATGACCATTTATTCTATGACTTTGCAGTTGCTGGGGTCTCCCACCCCTTCCCACCCCTTGGAGGTAGGGCTGTAGTGACAATCGGGTGTGTCATTTTAAGGCATTTCTCATTTTGTAAATTGGTCCCTCACCACTTAAAGAGTGTATGGAATTGTTTCAAAATGTCTAAGTGTGATTATGTAGCCTGAAGCCAAATGTTATAAAAACCCCACTGTTGCAGATTTCAAAAGTAAATATGCAGTAAAATCTTTTCAGCATGCTGTGGATTTGACACAGTACTCAACCACTGGCTGAAATGTTCCCTTCCCTTCCCTCAGCTATTGGGGTCGAAGACCCCCTATAGTGTGGCCATCTCCTCCCTGATTGCTGAAATCCCAAGAGGGAAAAACGTATCCATCCTTTCATCTCTACCCACTGCATTCTTTCTCTAAGCCTGTAATTGGATCTAAATGGAAAATAAACCCTTTGCAGGCCAAGGAAGTTGGCACTGGAAGGTGACAAGAAGAAGAACATGTTCCACCTCTATAATCCGCGTACTCACACTCCACTATGCAAAGGAAAAATAAAAACAAGACATCTTCCAAGTGTGGTTTGGACCTTTGGTGAGAAGACCCCACATCATATGCTAGCTACCAACCACCTCACAGTGAAAAATACCAGCAGTCATTTTCATTGAAGGACAATGAAACCCTGTCCTCTTAGCCCTGATCTGCCTCAGCAGAGACTGTTCAGACATACAGAGTTAGATCATGATCATGATTACAGTGTGCCTGCCATACACGGGGGTGTCAAGGCTGGACTCGCTAGATGGTATGCAGTTCATTCATCTTTTGAGCTTCTGTGTGTGTGTGTGTGTGTGTTGGGTGGGGGGGGGGGTTGGCATGAGACAGAGGTGAGCAAGAAAGGTTTGCCCTCAAGTACTTGAGAAAAACAGAAATCAATAGCCCAAGTGCATGTGTAACTCACTACCAGGCAGAAATGAGAATAGGTAGCTTTCAGAAGTCCTGTGTGCTATGGGGATTCCACAGGAGAGAAGACTCGGTTCCGCAAATAGTCTGGCAACTGTGATGGGCTGTGATACATTCCAGAGAAATGCCCGGATTAAATCTGACTTGGCGTGCACATGCAGGCGTCACTGGGCTCTGTGTAGGGGTCTGGAGCAGGTTGTCTAGAGAGGGCACAACTGTCAGATAGTGAGTGCCAAGCCTCTAAGAGCTGTATCACTAGGCAAACCTCTCATTCTCATTTCACTTCACAGGGATTGGCAGTGTCTAAGTAGGACTTGGCCCTATGCTGCTAAATCCCCTGAAGTCTGAGATGAATAAGTAATGCCTTGGAAAATTAGCCCATGGTCACTATCAGTCTTAAGACTTCTGTGATGAAGGTGTAGCTCTATAATCTCTGCATTGGCATCAGTAAAACAGATTCCAAAGTTGACTCAATCACCGATGTGTAGCTGAAAACAACATCAGGACCAGGATTGGAACGGTGAAGGTGTTCCTTATACTCCCTTCTACTGGAAGCTGCTACCACTAAGTCCATGCCTTGTTGTTTCCATTTGCAAAATCTAGGTCTCTTTCCTTGCTGTCGCTTTTATATCTCCAGTCTATGTTCTCCTACCCAGTGCCTTCAGGTAGGCCACCAGCAGGGCTGGAGCTACAGGCACAGCTGCAGGCGCCTCCTGTAGCAATTTCCCCGTGACCTTCTGGGCTCTCAGCCAGCCCTCTTTGAAAGGGAAACGTGCAGACCCTGGGGACAGAAATCAGTCCCCTTATGCTAAACCAGCTGCCACTGCCAACAGCACCAAACAGAGAAACTCTGTGTGTGTGTGTATGTATGTATGAGCCACAAAACATTCTGAGAGTAAGTAGTACACGTCCTCACCTTCAACCAATCTGGAGGGGACACGGGGCTGGAAGCTAGAGCTCTCCCTACTTCAACCACTGAAGGAGAACGGCTCCCCAAAAAGCTCTTACCTGAATTCAGATTTAAACTGCATCACCCAAGAACGAAGAGCCTTTGCAAACACGTGGCCAACCACTGGCTTTACGGAGTGGGTTTTGTGGGCGTGTGCCCGTCAGCGCCGACTCCGTATTCCCAAGCGCTTTGCATCCTGTGATGTCCTGGGATTGAGTGGCTGTCCCTCTAGGTAAATTCCCGCGTGCTGGCTGGCGCGCGACCGGGAAGGGGAAGCGGGGAGGAGAATCTGGGTAGATACAGACAGATCTTCGCTCACCTTTTGCACCCTCGGGTTGAGGTCCTTAGCCACCTTTGCCATCTTCTCCTGGGGTGGGGAGGCCGAGCCTGGCAGAGCCGGGCGGAGCAGGCGCGGGACGCGCAGCCGGTCGGGGACGCCGCTGAATGGTCAGGTGGGCGCGCCCGGAGGGCAGCTCTGGGCTCAGCCTGGCGCAGCCGCGCCGCTTTAATTGGAGAGTCGGACTCCCTCTAAAACCGCGCCAGCCAATCAGCGCGGGCGCCCGCGTTGGGCCAGCCAATCCCAGAGCGAGCCGCTCCCTCCCCCCCGCCCGGAGGCCTCAGCCCTGACGTCAGTACAGCCGCAGCCCAGCCCGGCTTGGGTGGCTCACATCTGTCCCCAGGGCGGCCGGAATCCGTCCCCACGCCCTTCTCCTTTAAAGGACAAGGGTCCGAGGGTGGGGCCGGGCCATCCATTCGGGTCAAAAGGGAGAGCGATCAAACAGCAAAGCCGAGGTATTTTTAGAGCGCCAAGTCCAAAAATAAACGCTGAGCCTCGGACCCGGTCACGGGGGTACCGGAGGGGTGGGTAGAGGCGGGTACTTTACAGCAGCTTTGACCGACGAGGGCTGGCTGTCCTCAAACCTGGGAGAATTCTCCAATCGGGAGATTCCAGGCAATCAGAATTTTTTTAAAAAGTAAATTTAGGTCTTCTCATAACTTGTTTGAATGTAAATCTGCCCTGTATTCCGGGAGGAAGAGAAGATTGTCCCTATTTTACAAGTGCTTCTCTGTGCACTTGCATATATGGTGTAACTCATCCATCATTGGGACTCCAGTTAGGCAACAGAGAGGGACAGTAACCAGACCTCACTTGAACTTCCCATTGAGGCTTTATTTAACCAGAAAAAATAATAACGTGAACTCATCTGAGGAGAAAGGGAGCAGGATTATAAATTATGGAAATTAGTTAATTTACCAGATAGTTTGAGTCATGCAGGGCCGGACAAGATTAGATGGGATTGAATGAAATTCCCTGCAACACTGAATACAAACACTTGGGAGACAGCCCCGGCCATGCCACGTTGCTTGTGTAGAAATCCACACCTCTCCACCGAGCCACTTTCATAGATCCTCAAAAGCATTGTGTCCCATGCTCTGACAGAAGATTTACACACAGCCCTTTTGCCCCAGGGAGAATCCTGCTGTGTCCTGAGGAATCCATACTGTCGCTCATGTTGGAAGTGTCCCCTCCCCCCCCCAACCCAGAACCCCAGGAATGGTCTTGATGGAAATCTGAGGATCACAGTGGGAAGCTAGCCTGGGCAGGAAAGTCTGTGAGGCTTTTATCTTCAATTAACCACCAAAATGGCAGAAGTGGCTAAAGTGGTGGAGAGCCAGCCTTGAATGAAAACGCTCAGGAACAGTGCCCAAGCATGAAGTTTTAAGTCATACACACACACACACACACACACACACACACACACACACACACACACACACACACACACATCATTTGTGATTGAGTGGGGGCCAGGGGAGTGGGGGTCATGGCCACGGTAGGGAGGTTTCCCTTCTTACTGGAGGCATTCTTATCCTTAAACATTCCCCCAGTTTAGTTCTGAATGAGGCTTTTTTTTTTTTTTTTTTTTTTGTCTTCAGTAATCTCAAATCATGACATGACCAGGGGCCCAAAACTGTGATCCCCTTTTCATATTCCCAGAAAGGGTTTTTCACGTCACCTTTTCCAAGACTCAGGGCAGGTGATCCATTCCCATCATTCACAGAGAGAGGTCTGCTGTGATTGATGTCTGTCTTGCTCCCTCCCAGCTTTATGTCCCAACACTTACCGCGCAACAGAAGCTCAGAGCACATGGGTTGAATGAACGGAATCTGACTTTGAATAGCAATTAGCAGCCAGGAGAGGGATGGCACAAGGGTGTACTGGTCTGGCATGCCCAAACTTCCACAGTGGGAAGCCTGTCAAACCGCTGTGTAAATAAACAGTGGCCAGCAGAAGTCTGGCGGGGAGAGGGCTGTCCTCATGAATAGCCTTTTCAGTAGCAAATCTAGAAACAATAATGCCAAAGTGGGATGTCTAGCCAGAAACCTTTATGTTTCAGAGAGCTGGGAATAGAAGCCAGGGGGATCACAAGGGCAGTTTCATCCCTCACTAACGAGGCAAAGTCTTCTCGGTGAAGTCACTTCCCACTCCCTACTTAACAGCCCTGCTTGCCTTATCTTGAGAAATCTTTGTTCTATGAAATAATGGTAATTTTTATTAATGTGGCCGTCCAGGAATGGTAGATATTGTGGCTGTTTCTCAGAACATACGAATCAGGGGCTGCTATTTGAAGCGGCCCATCTTCTCTTTTCTGGAAGAGGACCTGCTGTAGGCAGAGAGGGGTCCTGGGTCTCTGCTGGAGTGGCTGTCATCTGGCTGAGCATGCAGATGCTAGACCCACACATTCTCAAGTTCCCGTATTCACTGACTTGTCTGTGCAGCAGAACAAACTGTTATAGCTTGCTACTATTGGGGAAGGTGGGGGGAATGCCATTGTAACTCAGTTTCCCTACAGCTCTGAGGTCCTCTTGGCACTTATATGTTGTTGTTGTTGTTGTTATCTTGTCACTTGTGGGGCTTGAATGCAGGGCCTGGGCACTGTCTCTGAGCTTTTTCACTCAAGGCTAGTGATCTACCACTTTGAGACACGATACCACTTTCATTTTTCTGGTGGTTAATTGGAAGTAAGAGTTTCACAGACTTTCCTGCCTGGGCTGGCTTTGAACTGCGATCCTCAAATCTTAGCCTCCTGAGTAGCTAGGATTACAGACAGGTGTGAGCCACCAGTGCCTGGATGTTGGCTTTTATTTTTTAATGGAAGAAAATGGAGTATTGTTAGTAAATCCAAACAGCAGGGAGCTCCAAATTTCCCCAAGATCCATTGCGTGCTGGTGGTTGGGTTTAATGGATACACTCATTCATTCATCAAGGAATTTCAGGACACTTGCCTTCAAACAAGTCCTGTTTTGGGCACTTGAGGATAAGAGAAGACATGGGAGATCCCTTCTCTAATAACTAATAACTGACCCTAAGGCTGGCTGGTTGACAAAGCTTTGTAGAGGATCACTCTGAGTAAACAGAAATGCAAGGCTTTCTCCGAAACCTTCCTGGAGCTAGAAGGGACAGAGCTGAAACTCAAATTGTGGGTTTCTAATTCCAGACTCCGTCCTGCCAGCTGCCCCACACTGCATCTTACCTCATAAAGATCACAGATGATTCCTATGGGGAAAAGAGTAAGATGAGGCCATTGTCATCAGTACTCCAGCATGGGTCCCAACTGGGATTTTTAATCACATGTTGTTTTAATCATTTACTAATAGATGAATTAAATAAGCAACCATTGTGCTGGGAACTGCTTAGGGTAGGTACTGAGCAGAGTCTACAACAGCAAGAGACAGAGAAGGGCCGTTCCCTCACATGGGTACAGGGTAAGGGGTGGGCATCCAAACAGGACACCTGGTACTTAGATAAGGCTAACTAAGAATGGCAGAAGGCCTACGGGGAAAGAAATGACATAGAGTCACAGAAGGGCCCTTTTCGATTGCATGGTCTGGAAGGGTCGGTTGAGGAAGTTGTGTGTAAGCTAAGATTTGAAGCAGGAGGCTGAGCCAGCTGTGAATAGAGACAGCATTGAAGGAAGATGACGGTGGAGCATGTCAGGCATGCAGACGCTATGAGGTGGGCCTGGTCTGGGCAGGTCTAGGGTATGGAAGGGTCCACAGGCCCTTTGGTGTTTTGTTTGTTTTGTTTTCCAGTTGTAGGGCTTGAACTTAGGGTCTAGGCACTAGCCCTGAGCTTTTGCTAGCACTCTACCACTAGAGCCACAACTCCACTTCCAGCTTTTTGGTGGTTCATTGGAGATGATAGTCCCACAGACTTTCCTGCCTGGGCTGGCTTTGAACCTCCATCCTCAGATCTCAGCCTCCTGAGTAGCTATGATTACAGGCCTGAGCCATTGGTGCCTGGCTGAAAGCTTGCTTCTCTTTTGATTAGTTTAATAGAAATATTATATCTGCAATCTCCCCCACCTTTATGACATGAGACCAGGGTAAGGTAGCCAAGGGGTTGATCCTTCGGGGCCCTGTGAGCCATGTTAAAGACTTTAAAAAATTCTTTTCTGAGATCAGTTGGAAGTTTTATACCAGTGCTTTCCAACCAGGAACATAGTGGGTGATGGATGTGTCACGATAAACATTTTAGAAAGCCAAGGGAACTATAACAAATTATATTTAATCCAACATCATCCAAATGTTGTCATTTCCAGTTGTGATTGTTTTATAGTCCGTGTGTGTGTGTGTGTGTGTGTGTGTGTGTGTGTGTGTGTGTGTGTTTGGTGCTATATCTTTGAAATCTTACACTCCCGATACAACTCCATAAAGCTGAGCCATACCACTAACACCCAGTAGCCAAATGCAGCTAGTGGTTATCACATCGGACAGAGCACTTACAGAGAGTTTTAAGTAGGGAATAACTGCAGAAACTAAAGTGGCATTTAACAGACCTCTAGTTCCTAATTAAAACTCTTTCATTAGCAGGTGGAGAAATTGAGGGTCTGGGAGCCAGAAATGAACTGGTTTACTATATATTTCAAATATTAAACTAGGAGGGACTCAACAAAGCTAAAACAAGAGGCCAAACAAGATCTTGAATCCAGATCTTTTGGTTTCACACTCCATACTTTCTTAAATCCCTGATAACCATGGCTCACAGTGATACTTCTATTGTTACAATATAGCAATCACAGCCCAAGTTGTTTCAATGTGCAAACATGACTAATGGCTCCTATTTGGCTGTGGATTTTTCTTTTATACATATTGTATTCATTAAAAACACTGACACTTAAGGATTATAGACAAAAATAATCCAAGGACCACAGAGTCTATTTTAATTAACTAATGATATAAATATACATGAATGACATAATATAATTTAATTTGTATCTACTTAGAACATCTTCTGTATCATATATGTGTGAATTGCTGACAACTTAAAATTTTTTGGTTTCTTTCCTGCCATTTTATGGAAACTTTAATTTTAGAATAAGTTTTTTTTCCAGATTTTTGGAGGGTCTTCTAGATCCAGAAGGGACACACACACACACACACACAC